GTTCACCAGACCCGGCAGCTCTGCCGAGGGATAGGCGAAGAAGTTCATTCGTGCGGATAGACTGACTCCCGACTTCATCAGGACGAAGGTGTTCAATCAGACAGAATAGGATCTGGCGGCTTTTCAGCCTCGTCCCCCTTTTTACCTGAGCCTCTTCAGTCAGCCTGCTGATCTTGGCAACTATAGGCTTCGATGTGATGCATTTTCTCAGTGTCAAGGATCGGGTAGAGGCACTCTTCATCAAGTTCCTCCTCTATCGTGCTGGCGTTCTCGACACTCATGACCCAAGACATGGCATATGGCGAGTCATAGCTGAATGCGTTGCTCACGATTTCTCTCGTGGAAATGATCCAGTCTCGCAACTCGTGCGGCGCAGGCTCTTTCTCGAGCTCTATGTTGGCGCACTTGTTCGCCTCAGATGGCAACGAAGTTAAGGGCGGCCGAGTGGCCTGCCCAAAAACATGGGGAGGTAGAACGCCGTCTCTGCCAATGGATATGGCACAAAGAGAGCAACTTCCAGACGATGGTGGGCAGCATGCGGAACACAAAGAAGTGCGGCACAATGAACAAGTTTGGAAGCATGGAGGTGTCCCGGGGATGCTGGACTTGACATTGATGTTGCATCGAGGTCAGACTCTTTCTTCAGCAGAAGATCGGCGAAGGTCGGGAGCCCCAATACCGCCGACGCCACCGACGCCATGCACACCCTTACCGAGTCCTGGTGGAAGAGAGAAGCCAGCTGGCCCGCCAGAGTTATCTTGTACTCCGTGATGAGGCTGTGGATTCTGCTGATTTGTCACAGCAGTGTCAGGCCCGTACCTTCCACGAATGATTCCCTGAGATTCCCCCCGTAGGGGAACATCCGGGATATGTGCCGATGGTCGCCCTCGGAGCTGCTCGCCCGACTACGGGCGATGACATTGCCCTTGGCGGCATCGGCCCGGCTGCTCCGGCGTGGGAACAGAAGCCGGAGTTCCCTTGTTGCGGTTCAGGACTCCGATGTGATGGATCTCCACGTGATGGCCCGGACCCAGGATCAGGAGCAGTGCCATCCCGCTGATTATGGTCAGGAAGGCTACCAGGTCCTCCAGGCCCCACACTGGGACCACGATGCTTGGTTTTCCCATCGGGGTCAGCTCTCAGGCAGCCGAGGCAGAAAGGTCGAACAGCTGACCCAAAACGGCGCACATCGTCGGGTGAAGCGATGTGTTGATCGCAGTACTCATCCTTGCATATGAGACACGTCACAAGCCCGTGTCTCCCTCCTCTTCCTCTGCATGCGCGGCATCTAGGAAACTGATCGCTACATTTGAAACATGAGTTACAATCATGATCAAAGCAGTCTTCGCAGACTGATTTGCCGCAGCTTCGGCATGGATAGCGAGGTTCCCGATGCTGTGGATGCCCAGGCTCCTCATGAGCGCATCTGGCCCGGTTATCAGGGGCTGCGCCGGCAGCCCGAGCAACGGCCCTCGTTCTAGAGGGATCCCTGCCAAAGATGGGGGCTGATGGTGACGGTGGAGGTGGCCCTGAAGGAGGAGGAGGTGGAGGAGGTCTCGCCGAGCTCACGATGCGAGCGTCGCGAGGAGGAGAGCCTCTAGGAGCTTTTCCCTGGGTTAAGGGATCCGTGTCTCCAGATTTCTCCCAGGGCATCGTCCCGGCGACCGAAACAGCGCCAACACTTGAAGATGCGCAGACAGCAGGAGGTTGTTCCCTCAATTCAGCGATCTGCATGTTGATCTCATTGACCCTCAACACAAGTTTCATAAAGTGCTCTTGCATGTCCCTCGGATAGGAGCCTAGGCTTTTATCATGAAGGTCCTTGACACATCTAGCAATACGGGATAATTGGAGCTTCTTCCTGTTTCCGTGAGTTCTCCTTGAGGGCTTCGGACATCCTATCACTGAACTGCTTCAGGTCGGTCGCAGGAACAAGGTGCTGGATGTACGTCTCGACGTTCCCACGGATGGTTCTTTCCCTTGAGATGGTCTCCTCAATGTCAATGACACTGCGAGAGTTCGCCTCAACTTCGTCCTTAATTCTTCGAACCTCAGCCTCAAGGGCCCCGATCTCGGAGAACCTAAGGAGCTGGACCTTGACGTTCTCAAGTGACTCGGCCTGCTCGCGAAGTTCAGCGGCAGATATGATGACCGAGTTGGACCTCTCATCATACATCTTGAGGCGCTCATTCATCTCCTTCTCGCTTCGGGCGACCCACTCGTGGAAATCACGGAACTTGGCCTCGTGCTTTGAGAGCGTTCCGGCGACGGCAGAGAAGGATGATTCAACCTTCTTCTCGAAAGTGTCAACACGGCTATTGATCTTCTTGATTTCACCGACACAAATGTTGATATCATCTCTGCATGAACGAATCTCAGTTCTGCACCCTTGGATTTCGGCCTTGCATCCCTTTACCTCGTTGTGAATCGCGAGAAGCAGTCGCTGAAGCTCAGATGCAACCGGATGGCCGTCACTTGTGGATGCAGACGGGGCAGGACGACTACCAGCGTCATAAGCTCCACGCCTATCCTCATTCCTGTCGGGAGTGCAGCCCGGAGTTCCAATTTGAAAGAATGTAGGGATGAGGGAGTCGTTGGCTGGTTGATTTGATGGAAGCCCCCCGTTTCCAGGTGCAACGGTGCCAAGTCCAGGTCTCCGGTTCCTGGGCGTAGAGTTGATCCCCTCATGAGTCTCCTTCTCAGACATCGGAGCATTGGAGCTGAGTCCAGATCCCGCGGAGTGGATAGGAACGTCAACAGGGTCGTGATGAGCGGGGGGTTTAGATCGCAATCGGAGGGCAGCTTCACGTCTTTCGGGCGACTCAGAGCTTCTCTTGTGGCTCGCGAGTCAGTGCCGGTTTGTCCCGACACATTATTGAACGATGACGATCCACGATGTTGAGCTTGATCTGGGTCAGGTTGAGTGAGATCAAGCCGTTGAACAACGTCATCACTGAATGGCTTAGGGGAAAGTACTTTGGCAACGCGGCTCGGCGGGAGCGATGTCGTTCGTCTCTCTGGTGTGACCTCGGCCTCATCGATTACACCGAGGATCCCAGGGATGGTTTCATCATCTTCATTTCCTCTCCTGGGTGGCTGATGGAAGGGAATGTCGAGAAGGTCGAAGGGAGTAGACCCAATACCAGGTGCATCCTGCTCGGATCCATCGCTGGTACGGTGGCTGGACTGTTCTTCGAGGTCGATGATGTCGGGCGCGGACTCTTTCCGAGTCTGATGCCGATTGAAGGCCGCGAAGAGACCGGCATGGCTTCTCGACGAAGTGGAGGAAGGATTTGGGCCTGCTGTTTCGCGGCCCGTGTCCGATCGATGAGTACCTGATGCTTGATTTGGCGGATTTGAGCCCGCGTTATAGCGGTTCGCGTCCCGATCTTGAGTACCTGAGGAGAGCGGTGGATTTGGACCAGCGTTGTAGCGGTCCGCATCCCGGTCGCGGGTTCCTGACAAGTGAGATGATACTGCATCAGGGATGAAGTCCATATCCGCCGGACTGAGGTGATTGTGAATGATGTCAACATCAGATGAACCTGAGACAGGAGGAAGGCCAGCTATTTGCGGCCAATCCTCAATCGCCCGCTCGCCCGCCTCGGGTTGGGCCGAACCTGCAACTTGAGAAGGGGAGAAATCTTCAATGGGGTCATTTTCTCCACCACGGGGAAAACCCTGAATAGGCTCACGCGTAGGCAGGGCGTCGAAAGATCTGTCAATTCGGGAAGGTTGGGATCTCCAATCAGCATCAAAAAGGGATTGAATATCCAGATTCCCAACCGAGATGGGGACACCCGAACCGAAGTCGAGTCGACCGAAATCAGGCGGCGTGGCCTGCGATCCACTCCCGAGGAGCTGGTCAAACTGATCCCATGTAAGGGACCAAGATTGAGCCGGCTCCGGATGAGCAGCAGGATGGGCAGCCTGGTCTTCGATCTGGAGCGCCACGAATGGAACAGTAGGCGAAATGGATGAGGGCACCTGATTTGGAGGAACCACAGCCTCTTCTAGAGGGGGTCCGTCCTCGATCTGGAGCACTGCTGCCGGGATAGGGGCCTCCGCATCCTCATCAAACACGACCTGAGAAAGGATCCAATCGTCCGTGATCACCCCGGGATTGGGCTCTGCGCCCACCATCGGGGGAAGAGGCCACAGCCGGCTGTCTAAGCCGGGGGCAGCATGCGCGGCGTTGCCGCGAAGGGCGTTGGCCTCGTCGTCCACGAAGCCTGGCCCACGATGTGAAGCTCCAGGGGACGCCATTGTACGTACGAGTAGGCGAGGGGGCAGGTAGCGGGTCACGTCCCGCAACCGGATCACCAGCCCCAGCTTCTAGCTGTTACGGCTGATAACCTGCGGTTTTGGGCGAACACGAAGTAGCCCAGGGAAGCAAATGAGCACAAAGTAAATCACAAAGTGCCCACAGCACCCGGAAACACAACTCGGGTGAAGCTGTGGATGATGACCGGGTTGAGGAAGTGACGGTAGAAGAGGAAAATGTTTGGGGAGGTTTGGAGACACGTTGCAAACGAAAATCAGGAAGTATACCACCAAGCCCAGGGCGTCCGCGCCGCAAAACCAGGTACCTCCTAGTGCCAGCCCTATCCCGCACCAAGCAGCAAACTACTCAATGAGGGGAAAGACCGCCGCACTATGGCACCTGACGTTTTACCGCAGAAGACCTGTCGGGAAGTGGAAAACTTGAGCCAGACGGCCATTCGGCCGATTCGCTTATGAAGAAACAACACGTGAACGAAACACAGTTTCCCACTCTGACCCTTTGAGCAAATTCCCTCACCATTTTGAGGCACGCCCAAGTTGTCCAGGACCATGTTGCGGGTTTCTCTCGGAGCACTCGAAGCCCTTTGGCAGAGTTTGCTGGGAAACAGCCAATTTTGGGTTCAATGTTGAGAAACACCCGGGTGTCTTCAAGTAGTCGGGGGACCTCCCAAAATCTAAGTAGGATACCGAGCCTCACCCCCATTGGGGGCCCACGCATCGGCTTGGGCTTTCGCTCCGACTTCAAAGGCACCGCGGCGATCTGGAACGTGTTGCTGTCCTCGCGGAGCTCGAGCAAAAACGCGCCATGGGAGCAACCCCGAGGGGTCTCGTGCCCTTCCTCCCTAAAGCATCACCCCAAAAGAGCGCTGAACGTTGGCCCAGGTGAGTCACAATCAAAACCCGGTATTCAAATGGTCTACCCAGAAATAAGAAGGCGGCCGCAACTATTTCTGGCTGGGACTGCCCTTACTAACCTTCATCTATCCGGGTTTTGATTGTGGCCCAGGTGAGGTAGAACGAAAACGTAAGAGAGGAAGCCTGAGGCGAGGTGTGGAACCACGAGACCAACAGGCAATTTTGTCCACTCAAAGGGATCAGGGCTCCACGTTAGGCCGCGGCGACAGAGATGGCACAATTCCCTTTGCGTGGGTAAGTTGAGGGAATGACTGGGCAAAACTGGGGGGAAATCTGCCGGCTAGTTTCACCCAACTGCCACACACCACCTTGTCAAATTCGAATAGAACTCTTTTTCCAGCAGGGTAGAGATTATGAAGAAGTGGGTTGTGAAGCGGCTGTTTTCACCCAACTCCAACACACGACCTTGTCAAATTTGCCTGGAGCTCTCCAAAGCAGGTCAGACCAAACCTCGCACTTCCTTCCAAAGCAACGAGGAAGAAAATTTGTCCAGCCCCCGACCGGCGCGCCCGCCTCAGCCAGCCAGCCCAAATGCAGAGAGCCAGCGCAGGCGGCCGGGGATTTGGGCCCTGGCGGTCTACTTCTACCACAGCATGCACAGATGTCCAATACATCTATACATATATACATTACATAGGTCTATTCATCATACCTAAATCCTCTTAGACAGGCTATTCCGGAAGTCTGGCTCATGAAGGTGTGGTTACAGCCCGCTGAACACTAAACTAGCAAGGGGGTTAGTGATGTTTGTGTAGAATGCTCTCCTACGAAGGCTGCATAAGCATCGCACAGACTACGCATTTGCCCAAAAGGATATTGGAAAGTTGATCTCTCCCTTCCCCAGTGGATAGTCTCCTTGCTTTTTCGCCAACGATTTCTCAAGTGTAAGAGGCATCTCAAAATTGGGAAATCCAATTTTAAAGCAAAATTGGGAAATCCAATCCTATTTCCTTGAGCCAAAAGCCAGTTGAGACGGGCCCCCGAAACTTTGCCCGTCGCGAAGTGGCGTTTTTGCCAGGGTCGGCTGGGCTTCCGACAGACGGGGTGAGGTTGCAACACCGCAAGGGATTGCAATTTCTTTCGCTTGGAATAAGCCAGGCCGAAGAATTGTGGATATCGCCGGCCTTCAAGTGCTTTTCGGGCATCTTCTGGCTTTCGGCGGGTTTTGATGGCTCCAATCTGGAGCGTTCCCCCCCGCTTTTGTGGCTACCCTCCCATCCACCAAACCTGACAGGTCCTGGCTTGGCCAACGTTCTGAAGGTAAACGCGGAGGGCACCAAAGTCGAAAGGGACCTCTCCTAGGTCCTCCAGTGGAGAGGTGAGAATAAGGGCACCTACTTTTTCCTGTAGTGTTTTTTGTTCCTTTTCTTGTTTTGGGGGAACCCTCCCCCAAAAAAGGGTAAAAGGGCAATACTGGGGGGCCTAGTCTCCGTGTTGCTCAACGCGGCCGGCGCACCGCCGAACATCGCCGTCAAGGTCGGCAGGGACGAGGGGATGGACGCCAGGGAGACCTTGGGAGGTGTGGAAGAAGCGAAGTGGCCAAGAAAGAAACCAAATCAAGGGATGTTGTACAAAGACCATGCGCGATGTCTAAGTTTTGGAGGTTCCGGTGGACTATTCGTCTCATGAACCATGTTCTGGTTGTTTGGGCGGCTTTCTTTTGGCAGTTCCCCCTCAATATGCCCATTCTCGCGTGGGACGATTCGAACGCTCTCTGAGCCGCAAACAGCCAGAACCGGCGCACCGCTTTGCACGACTTTGTCATCTGCTTCATTGAGCAGGCCCTGCGATGCGAAACACAGGAGCCCAGTCGAAAGGTTGAGCCCAACCAGCCCTTTCACCCATCGCTTCTTTAAGATTTCTGGGTTTTTGGGGTAATTACACGGAAAATGCCCACCTGAAAAGGGGATTGCTGGGTGTTTTTTGATATTTACACTGAAAATCCTCCTGACAAAAAGGGGGATGCGTAGGTTTCGTGAAAAAAGGACTGAACCAGGCAATAAAAGCCTGCACACCATTTGTCACCACCGAAGGGCAAAAGTCCCAAGCCTAAGGTTGGCTGGAAGGTCGCAACTATGCTTTCTGAAATTTGTCTTCTCTTCCTCTCCAAGGGTCATTTCATGAAGGGTTCAGAATTGGTTCCAAACACCGGCTGTCTTTTTTGCTTTCCAGTTGCTTGTCTCTTCTTCATCCGCAATGGCTCCTTTCCTGGAATCTCATCTCCTTGCGGCGGCCTGCATGCTTTTCACCACACGACCTCCAGCCTTTCTTTGCCGCTAGGCAAAGGGATGTGTAGGCGACGGCCAGGAAAAACGCGCAAAGAATTCAGGTTCACCCCAGGTTTTATCGATTAGCTTGGGGGTGCTTGGGAAAGTGTGTTGAGAGAAAGGCATGCCCTCCAAAATAATATGGGTACGAATTTTAATAAGGGACCCTTTGGTGGACATCATTTTGGTGGGGATTTCTGTCCACCAATCACTTTTTAGGGGTTCCCCATTAAAATTCATAGTCAGATCAACCAACAGTGGGATCCCAGTGGAAAGGGCAGCATCATCAAACCGAGGTGCATGGGACCCCTAAGGCCCTAGTGGCGATGGCCAGAGTCATTCCCTTAAGAGGAATCTTTATCATAATTGTCTCCTGGTCCATGACCATCCCTACCAACATCAAGTACAATGCACTTTTGACCACTGCACATGTGGACAATCCTCTCTCCCCCAGGGTAACTCCCCCATTCTTGCTGATTCTTTTCAGAAAGCCACCCAAAACCCAAATCAACTTCTCAACCGCTCTCTCTCTCTCTCTCCTGCAGGTACACGGTTTTGTTCTCCAGAAGAATGGCCAGCACCTCCTCCTCGCCTGGCCATTTCGCGGAATTCGCAATTCGGCCCATGCCGACCCCCCTTCGGATAGTCTCTCAGAAACCCCATCGTCGGTTTCCCCTGACATGAACAGCATTCCGAAAAACGACCAAACACTGAGAGCCGCCCATCTCTGAACATGGGAGTGTTTGGGGGACCCAGAAGATGATTGGCGTCCCTTTGGTTTCCCTTTAACTATCCGAAAGGGGTCCAGCATTTTGAGGCCCTCCTGTGAGACCAACCCCTGGGTTCTGGAAGCACCAAAAAAAAAAACGCAGGCCTCGGATGGATCGCATCGCCAGCACCGTGGCATCTTCCCCTGGCGGAGGATTTTGGTCGTGTTTGCGGTCGGCGACAGCAATGTAGAGGTTTCCTAAGGGTCTCCCCTTGCCAAAACGGGGGGAAGAATGTCAGCAACCTACATATCGCTTGTTCCCTGAAAATTTAACACACGTCGAAGCGTCTGGAAGAAAAGAAGAAAAAAGACACTTTTCGGCGTCTAGGTACCAACAAAATTGTCGGTGCCTGACATGGTGAACAGCAAACAGGCAAGCATAGCGATTCGGGGGGCGCCTTCGGCCAAGCACGCGGAGGCGTGAACCAGTTCCCTTACGCTGCCTCTTGTGCAAAAGGAGTCTTCCCCGAAACAAGGAATTCCTTTGAGCTTCCCTTCATCCAAAAAACGCGTCTTTGCCACCTTCCAGCATTCAGCTGCGAGACCCCCAATCCCCGGCGCGAGAAAGGAAAAAAAAAACAAAAACAAAAAAACACGCAGACACGCCCCTTCGGTTTCGGCTGGGCCGGGCCTGGGATTTGCACCTTGCCCAGGTGGCTGGACTTGAAACTCTTGGGGTCCACCCATTCCATGATCTGCACCATGGCCATCTTGCAGCCTCAGCCGTGGGAGCTGAGCGAGCTGCCTTTGAGGCTCCCAACAGTCACTATGGGTTACAAACGCTCACCAAGAGCCACTATGACTCCCCTTTCGGAAAAAGAAACATCAGCGACCGCTTTTCTGGCCAAAAAAACATGCCCCTCAAAAGGGAAAAGAAGGAGAAGAAAAAGGCTTCTGACACCCCCTTCCCCCCTTTGGAGTTATCCAAAACCTTTTCGGGCCAGCCGCCACTCACCGGTTGGCTTCAGGCCACTCGAGCCGGGCGCCGGGCCCACGTAGCAGCGGCTCTCAGCGACCGCGCTGCAGGCGAGGCAGCTCACCGGGTTGTTGGGCAGCAGGTTCCTCGGGTGGGTCTTCCCGTCCGCTTCTCGTCCGCTTCATCGGTCCAGGTTTGTTTTTCGGAAAAAAAAAATGAGAAAAAAAAAAAAAAAAAAAAAAAAACGCCAAAAAGCGACCAGGGAAAACCACCCCGTGGAAGGAAGCCACCAAGAGCTGTGGTTCGAACTCCTCCCCCACCCCCCACCAAAAAAAAAGAGAAGGAACCAGCTCACAGGAAGCCACCCAAAGGAAAAGGTGTGGTTTAAAAACCCTCCCAAAAATTGGTGGACATGCCCATGACCTTCCCCCGCCCCCGGGCCCATTTTGTTGACTTAAGATCAGCTTCCGCCCAATTGGTGATTCGGATGGGCTTGGAGGTTGGCTGTGGTTCCCCCGCTGCAGCTTTGAGACGATCACAAAAAACGGACCACTTTGAGAAACTGTGATTGGAGGTTGGGTGGTTGGATGGTGTGGTTTACCATTTTATCCTCAAGAAGGGGTTCAAATCCATATCCAAACCGCCAAATGGGAGGGAACCTGACCAGGGGTGCCCTCGAGCAAAGTTGTCCCCAAATGTGGGAACCCTCAACTGGTTGTAGTCCTTTTGGCAGAGACCCCCCCCAAAAAAAAAAGGCTGGTGTGCCTTGGTTAGGTGCCTTCGATTGAAATAGATGCCACCAGGCAAACACCTCCAGAGTTGGGTCAGTTCAACAAGAATGGTTCATATGTTCAAAGGTGGTGGCACCCTGGTGAATCTCCCTAGAGCTAAGGTTCCCTGGTGCCACCGGCCCAAAAAATCTTCGGCGATGGCAACCATTGATCATAGGTCCCGATGATCTTACTAAGGCTTACGAAGCCCTAGTTGACCCCAAGGTTTGCTAAGGCCTTCTTAGAGAACTTGATGGCTTCCAAGTTTATCTCACCAGCCAAGTACCGCTTGCTATCACAAAGCCAGGCGGCACATGCGCAACCAAGCGCCGGGGAAGCTCCTTCTCTTTCACACTCACCTCCGAAATTTCAGCGTCGGGTGCGTCTGAAGCTTCAGATGCCCACCAAACAATAGCGCCCTATATGACCCGGCTGAACCTTCCCCCCTCCAGCGGGAATCTGCCAAAAATGGTGGTGGTACCATCGGCCCCTTGAAAAGAATAGCGCCGCAGATTGGACTGACAACAGAACCCTCCTCGCAACCGGCCGGAACCCTGTGCGGAACCCTACCTCAAAGCCGGAACTTTCCTCCACTCCGCCCTAGGAACCGCCCCGAAGCCACCTCGACACTCGGAACCGCCATCCAGCCGAAACTCCTCGAAACCCAACTCTGATGTACATTGCATGCTCTTCGGACCTTTAAAGGGAAACCTTGCTCAAACAAGAAGAGATCAAGGAGCGTTTAAACATGGCTTTCTTCGAGAGAAGATCCCCCAAAATCTGTGATGCCAAAGAGGTTAATTCCCATGACTTGATACTGGATTCTTTTGGTATCACAGAAAGTGGATTTGAAACCCAATTTTCCCACCATGGCTTTCCTTCCTTCAGGAGGCGGCTTACTTCGGGCGGATTGATTTCAACCACCAGTCCCCGGGATCCCCTCAAAAAAAAAAAAACAAGCGGAGCCGGGATCACTTTGGGGGGGTGCCCCCTCACGCATCTGGAGGGAACACGTTGCATGGCCCAAACGGCCCCGCCCAATCCACAGCTCCCTGGCCCCCATGGCAACCCAGTCTTCTGGCCTCCAACGAGTACAGCTTGGCGCCGATGCCAGCAAACCACACCATCCTCAGCCATCGCATGGCGGCCCTTTTGGTTCAGATGACACCGGGGTGGTTTCGTCTGCTTCTCGACTTCCAGGGTTCCATTCTACCCCCAGGTAGGCTTAAACTGTTTTGGTTGATTCACCCAGAATGGAAGTGCTGGGATTAAGTCCACCTGGAACCCACGGACAGCCGCCGTCGGGTCTGGGCCCCTTGCACTCTGTCCTTGGAGAAGGACATGCGTGCATCCGGGACCTTGGGGGGGATGTCGGTCACCACGATCTCACCTCAGCAGGCAGGCAGGCAGGCAGGCAGGCAGGCAGGCAGGCAGGCAGGCAGGCAGGCAGGCAGGCAGGCAGGCAGGCAGGCAGGCAGGCAGGCAGGCAGGCAGGCAGGCAGGCAGGCAGGCAGGCAGGCAGGCAGGCAGGCAGGCAGGCAGGCAGGCAGGCAGGCAGGCAGGCAGGCAGGCAGGCAGGCAGGCAGGCAGGCAGGCAGGAGGGCAGGGAAAGCGAGCAAGAAGCCAAGAAGCAAAGACAAATGAAAAAGAGAAGAAACAAAGAAATAAAGAAACAAACAAACAAACAAACAAACAAACAAAAAGCAAGAAAGGAAACAAAGGAAATAAAGAAAGAAAGAGAAGGACACCACGAACGAGATAAAGGAAGGAAGGAAGGAAGGAAGGAAGGAAGGAAGGAAGGAAGGAAGGAAGGAAGGAAGGAAGGAAGGAAGGAAGGAAGGAAGGAAGGAAGGAAGGACGGACGGACGGACGGACGGACGGACGGACGGACGGACGGACGGACAGAAAGAGAAGCAGGCAATAAAGAAAGAACCAGAGCAATAAATGAACAAAAGCCGGAAAGAAACGCAGAAAAAGACAACAAAGACAGACAAACAAACAGACAGACAGACAACCAAATAGAAAAGGGAAAAAATAAAGAAAGACTGAAGGAAAGGCAGAAAGAAGCAAAGAAGCAAAGAAAGAAAAGGCAAGGCGTCCACTTCAGCTGTCGTTCTCGGCATCTGGTTCACTCCTTTAGCCCCCGATATCCCAGCACAACTTGTTTTGAGGGGCTTGCGGCATACAAGTGCAACTCTGATTCACGTGGAAGGAACAAATGCAACGAACTGCAAGGAATGAATATGCAAATCTGCAACTGAAGGAAGGAAGGAAGGAAGGAAGGAAGGAAGGAAGGAAGGAAGGAAGGAAGGAAGGAAGGAAGGAAGGAAGGAAGGAAGGAAGGAAGGAAGGAAGGAAGGAAGGAAGGAAGGAAGGGCGGGAGGGAGGGAGGGAGGGAGGAAGGGAGGGAGGGAGGGAGGGAGGGAGGGAGGGAAGGAAGGAAGGAAAGCCTCTGTTTGGAATCCCTAGAACCTACTCCATACAGTAACCCGAAGTGGGACACCGCTATCAAAAGAAACACCGCCCTCCGGCACAAGGACGCATGTGTGTGTGTGTGTGTGTGTGTGTGTGGTTTGCCTATGCGTGCCAAACTAGGGAGGCCAACACGTGGTGGGCTTTCCTTTCGGCTTCTCTATGGGGAAGAGGCTACCCAAAAACAGGGATCCTTACATATACACCTGAACATTGCCTTGTAAAGGGTGGTTTCCGTTTATTTTGCTGGAAAAAGCCACGTTTCAACTGGGCAAAATGCATCTTTTAAGGAGCCCGGCAAAAACATCCGCACAGAAGGACCGAAGGCCTAAGGCTCGCACTCAGCGGATCACTCCAGCCGATTCGCTGGAGCATCAGCACCTGCGGTTTTCAAGATGAGCTAACACCAAAGAAGACGAAACCCCCACTCTCGGCATTTGACATGGCCCGTCCTTTTGGGGACTCCATGTTCCATGTCCCAGGGTTCGGAAAACGTGCAAGTGAATTCTCAACAAACCTTCGACTCTTCTAGCTAGGGGGGCCAGCACCACCCAAGAAGAAAAAAAAGAGCACACAAAGTACACGTCACAATCAAGCACATAAGTATTCTGTGTTGGTATACCTTTCGTCGTGCGGAGAAAAACTTCTTTGCAACTCGGGGCAAGCCCTGCCTCCAGGTGGCGCGTCACAGCATGGATCACCACCTGGCTGGTCAAACCCTGCGGCGGGCTTTGTTTCAGGGACCCTCTTAGAGCGGCTCCCCTTGGTTTCACCAAAAAAAAGAAAGAGAGAGAGAGAAGAAGACAACCAAAAAAAGAAGGGGGGAAAAAAAAACACGAAGGGACACAAAAGAGTTTTGGTCGCCAAAAAAAAAACACCCAGTTGCGCGTTGCAGCCCAGCTGCAGGGTGCATGTGCTGCCAAAATGCGCAGATTGCCCTGTATGTTACATGGACAAAGTGATATGCGGTCTCCCGAGTGCTTGTTGTCGAGATTCAAAGAGTCTTTCATTTTGGATGAGGCACTTCAAGGAAAACCGAATTTAAACTAGGCGGTGCTTCTCAATCGAGGGATCCCCACAAAATGCGTGGCTTCTTTTGGCTTCCCCTTCAACGCCAGCCAGAACGGCTGCGGCACCTTTGCGCCTGTCCCTTCCTTTGTTCTGCGGGTGTTGATTGCGGCACAGAAGACCAATTCGAACATCAAACCCTAATCCAACGATCCGAAGCGCCAGGGGCGCCAAAGGTCATGACCCTTCCATGGTCTGATAACATGGCGACCCGTGGCTTCACGGCGTCCACCGCATCGCGGCTTTGAATCAGCCAATGATCAGAAGGAACCCAACTATGCGTAGGGGGGGAGGGGGGAACCGGTGGTTGGTCCTAAAAGGAGCCCGACCATCGGGCAAAGTGTCCATTGTTCAGTCGAGTGCTTCCAGGTGCAATGTAGGTGTGTGATCATGAGGGCACCCTTTTTCAGGTTGGCTTCAGGGCAAACCGAAAGAAATATTTCGAGACATGCCCATGTGTGGGTGTCCAAATCGGGGAACCCAAAAAAATCAGTGGCCGGCCTGTGGGCTTCCCTGTTGAACCACAACAAGGGCACGTTCCAAACAAAAACAAACCACCCATTTAGGGTAATGTGCAACAAAGGCTGGCGTCCCTGTGGTATCCCTTCAAACCCAGCCTGCAAAGCAAAAACAAATGTGTTTCTTCACCTCCTTCTTTCCGCAGCCGAGAATTCCATTTCCCCCCCCCCACTCCACGAAAAAAAGAAGAAGAAAAAAAACTCCACCAAACAAAAACTCCACGAAAGAGGGAGAAGAAGAAAGAAGCGCCCCAACCACTCCATCAAAAAAAAAAAGAGATTTGCGCCCCAACCACTCCACTCCAACAAAAAAGAACAAAAAGCGCCCCAACCACTCCAAAAAAAAATGAAACGCCTGGGAGTCGTGGGTGGACGCGACCACCAAGGACCCCCGGGGCGCGGGGCGGCACTGCACGAGGCCCAAAGGCGGCACCTCCCTCGGGCCTCGACATCTCGCTGAAACCGAGACGCATCCATGTCCCCTGGAAGGAATCCCGCTTAAAGACTAAGAAGGCGGCCGCACCTATTGATGAATGGGATCGTCCCTTACTAACCTTCATCTACCCAGGTTTCGACTGTAACTCATATGTCCAGTGGATAGAGTCCCTTTCATCCATCTGGGAAAAATGTACCGTACGCTTCTTCCAGTGATTGGAACGAAATACCTGACTTTTTCCCCTTGAAAGAGCACAACCTACAGTCTGGATCGCCAGTTGTGATCGCTTTTTCCCATCCACTTTACCATCCAAAAACCAGCAACAGTGACTGCAAAAAGCAGCAACCTAATCCCATCTGTCCAGTAGTGGATAGAGTCCCTTTCATCCATCTGGTTAAGTACACTACGTTTCTTCCAGTGATTGGAACGAAATACCTAACTTTTCCCTTTTGAGGTACCCCTGTTGTAGGTTTAGAGGGAACCGAAAGCAAGACATCATTTTGGGGGGTCACAATTTTGACAACTATTATTTCTCAGAATCCACACTTCCAGGAAGAAAATCCATGTGAGGCATAACTAAAACCCGGTACAAAAATCGCTCACCCGGAACCACTTAAAGAACTAAGAAGGCGGCCGCACCTATTGATGAATGGGATCGTCCCTTACTAACCTTCATCTACCCAGGTTTCGACTGTAACTCATATGTCCAATAGTGATAGATGTCCTTTCATCCATCTGGTTAAGTACAGTACTTCCATTTGTGATTGGTGTTGAAAACAGGGAACATAAAAGAACTCTTCTTAAGCAAAAAAAATGGAAGGCTAGGCGAGAGTTCGGCCACAGTGAGGAGAGAAGCTCACAGGGAGTCCCTTGTTGGGATGTGGGTGACACCTGTCTCTATTGACTTTTGAGGTTGTGGATTTGTCCGGATGTCTGACCCCATCTTTGCACTACAATTACATTGCGAGTTGCGTCCACCAACCATGCTGGAGGGTGTTGCCCATTGCAAATCACAACCTTCTGTGTGAAAATAGGGGGACCACCCATGGGGTGTCTTTTGGCTTCCAACACCACCCCAAACAAGGTATCATCAAAGAGTGTCACGCCCGCTTGTCCCCAAACACCACAACTTCAGGATCAAACAACATCATCTCAGATCACAGAAACGAGAAGGCACTTAGTAACATTGTATCCTGTGCACTCCGGAAGAAAGGGCAGTGAGTAAGTTAGTAAGTTAGTAAGTTAGTGTCCGGTCCAGAACTCTCCCCTTTCTGGATCCAGGAAGAGACATAGCTGCAGCCACTACACTTCAAATCGCCACATGGACATGGGCAAAATTCCTTCTCATGGCTGATGGTCAAAGTTCTTCGTCATGATTGTCTGAACCCTATTGAGAGGCACGCGACCATCCCTATCAACCCCAAGTCAAAGGTGGTCAAACACCACCCACATGTCCCCAAAGAGGCGCTCGCTCGCTCCGTTTTAGCGGGCCTTCATATTCCCAGACCTCCACGTAGCACTTCTCCACGCTCCTCTTGGGCAGCTGCAGCACTCCTGCGGAGCCGCTTTCTGAAGCAGAAAGACTCTGCCAGCATCAGCTTGGTTGCAAACCTGATCGAGTTTAAAAGCAGACCCGGCAAACCAAAGGACAATGATTAAAACAAGAGCCAGGGGTTGGCCCAACCCATTGCACGCGCATCTAAAAAAAGGCGGCTTGGGTGTGTCTTTTTTTGGTGGGGAGGGGGAGGGGGGGGGTGAGCTTTGAAAGCACCTCAAAGACACCTATTCCATGAACCGCGCCTGTAGGACTCACCAGCTCCACATACTCATCCTCCTGCGGGACATGTCTTGCTTAAGGGGAACCCGACAAATTCTGCTTTTGGCTTCCCCTTCAAGCCGCCCCAAGAAAGGGCAAAACCCCACATGATTTTTGGGTGAAGGGCACCTTGTTTTGCGAGCGAACTCTCATCGATCGCTTCGAGCGACCTTTTCGCGATGAACTGAACTTGAGAAGGATGCTTCCTTTGATAGGATTGCTTGAGACCAGCAAAGAGGGGTACGTCAGAAGGATGCTTCCTTTGATAGGGTGGCATATGTTTGTTCGATGGCATGGGTGCCTTTTGGTTTACAACGATGCTTCGCCCCTTCAAATGAGGTGCCTTCTGGTTCGAAAACTTGTTTGAGACCAGCAAAAAGGAGGTCCCGAAGCTTTGGACACTTATTGGAATCGGAGTTTTGGATTGCCTTCCGTATTTCCTTAAACGCAATCTAAAAGTCGTCCCCGATTCGTGGACAGAACTTGAGAACCAGCACGTCAGTCAAATCAGTGCCTCAAACCCATTGACTTTCAGGATTGTAAACAAGGAACAAGTAGGCCTTGCCTCTACTACCAACTTCCAACCTTGAGTACCACCCATTTGCTTGCTTCTCCAAGTTAGGAACCCCATCAAATGCTTGTCTTCCTTTTTGTTTCCCCTGAAAATCAAGTACCGACCGCTATTCTGAGAAACACCCATATGGCTTCGGGCGCAGCGTTTCCTTCCTTCGACCGATGCGGGTCCCAAAAGCCCCGAAACCCCGCGCCTCGCCGACCTCCTGGGAATGCATGGCCTCTGCCACCACCTGACCCATGTGAGTCGTGAAACCACATGCGAGCCCTGCGAGCTACAGAAGTGACCCGAAAATGACTTCGGATTCCATGAGGTAGAACCACCTATGGCTGAAATGGCAAATGACTTTGGGCGCTGCTCATGCGAGTGCATGCTCTTCAGGATTCTTGCGAACCCGGCCCGCAACCGACAAAAAACCAGGAGAAGAAAAACAAATAAAGAAAAATAAAGAAGACAAACAAAGAAGAAAAAAAAGAAGAAGAAAAAGAGAAGAAACAAAAAGGAAAAAAAGCAGCGCAACCTGTTCTCACCGGGCAAACGACTTCGACCTCCACACCCCGCCAGAAGCGATCCGCTTCCATCCGCTTCCGCTTCCGATGGCCTTGGAGAGGCGATCCAGGCGCCAGGCGAAGGTGCGATCCCGGCTGCTGGTGACCAGCCACTGGGGGTCCGAGCCTGGCGCGAGTTGCGCCGGAAACCTCCTAGATGGCCAAGCTGCGATCGCTCTTTTTCAGTCCACTGTTGCGATCAGTTTTTGGATGGCAGAGTGGATGGAAAAAAGCGATCGCAACTGGATCGATCCAGGCTGTAGGTTGCGCTCTTTCTCCCGGTGCACTGGGACAGGGAGAAGTCTGATTGACAGCCCAGGCGGTGGCATCGGTGCTTGGTTTCTTTCCCAGGGCGTGAAGTCTCTGGTTACGGAGTCTGGCAACTGAGAAAAGAAGAGGAAAGTCACCTAAAAGCAATGGTGGAGCGCTGAAAACAGATCGCCAAGAGTCGTGAATTCCATGCGCTTTGCTGGTTGAAGTCGGGAGTTCTGTTCAGTCCCGTCTGCTTGCACAAGTCGACACTAGTAACATGCACCTCGCATTCGTACCTCCAGGGGAAACGCAAGCACCGCTCCGGTGCGTTGCTCTCCTTTCCCCTTGAGCCGTTCTCATGTTGAGACAGACCTCGCAGCACCGTCTCACAAAGCACGCCGGAGTCTATGTTGGAAACCCCACCTTTGCGCGTCAGAGACCACCCCGTTCTCATTTTTTTTGCGCCGGGGCCCTGGGACTACCCATCTCTCGCGTCTCTGAATATCGTCCCCAAAGCCGAGGAGCTGGGTCGCCTTCTTTTCAAGACCGGTTTGGAATAAATGAACGGGCAACCCATTCAGCTTAGATTCCTTTCCGAGGTATGCCATATTTTATGCTGCCTAGTTTTACCGGGACTGTCGAGGCTGGATCTCCCCTGAAGTTGCTGATTCCTTGCCATTTTTGCAGATCCGGAAAGGGCGCGAAAATGGCAGTTCGGACACCAAAAAAAAATATC